AATTGAACCCATGTCCTCAGAACATTAGGCTGGGGTTCTGAATTTCTAGTCTAGTGACATTAATACTATGCCACTACCTTCTTAATCGAGCCTACAACAGACAAGACTAGTAGTTGCCCTACATATATCATCTTGTGTATGCGTAAAACTATGCCCACGGCAAATTGTGCAAATATGTAATTGATATCAACAGCCCTTACTATCTTTGGTCTGAGGCCATTGACCTGGAAGCCTCAAGATAGCCCAAAGACACTCATCTCCCTCCTATGTGATTTGCAGTCTCAGCTGTTTCCCACTGACTGTTTCTTTGCTAATCCAAACAAGAAAACGATTTGGCCTTTGTTGTAAGTTTCATTTGGGTGTATATGTAATGTGAAATGTCATTTACTGAAAGTGGCCAGATCTTTGTAACTGTCTTGTCTCTGCTGTACAACCAGCCTCGTTTCTATATTTGTTTGTGTCATTTAATCTCCTCATTCTACTATTGTTGCAGTTGGCTTGTCCACAACTGATATTGGGAAGCTACTGCAGGCAGTGCAGAGCATTGATGAGCACAAGTGACAGTTTACAAGATATATGGACATTCCAACGACAAAGACAGTTTCCAAATCAGGCGTACAGAGCGAAACCTGGGCCAAGAAGTGGCCAGACATTTACAGCATACCATGTTGCATGTTGAAGATGAATGTCTGCATTTTGAAGTCTGCATTAGGGGCTGTAAATGCAAGTCTGGGGTAAAACTCGACACGCACCTTACAGCTGTAGATTTAATGTCAATTGATCCTTTTTCTTTATCTTGTGGCTCTTTTCACCAGAGCATCATATGCATTTTAAACTTATGCAGCACTGTTTGGAAGCCCTGGTCTACAGGAATAGGCTTGTTAAAAGTAAACAGTGCCTTTTAGTTTTTATCAAAAACAGAAGTTGCTGGAAAAGCTCAGCAAGTCCGGCAGCATGTGTGAAGAAAAATCAGAATTAACGTTTCAAGTCTGGTGACCCTTCCTCAGAATAGGTCTTCACCTGATGAAGGAGCAGCGCTCCGAAAACTTGTGATTTCAAATAAACCTGTTGGACTATAACCTGGTGTCAGAAGTCACATGACCTTATCCACCCCAGTCCAACACCAGCACTTCCACATCATGAGATTCACAGCCAACTTGCACTAATTATTGTAATGAAGCAAAAATTGTATATTTTTGGCCATTGGCTAGCTTTGCACCACAAACAGGGAGAAACAATTGAATTTGAATCTTTAATGACTCGGTGCAACATTCACCTTTTTTAATTTGTGACCATCAACACAGCCAGGTGCCTTTCAAATTCATTCTGCAGGTAATATTTGCCTGTCCAAGTTAACTGACATAAGGCCAAAATTTCCTGGAAGCGGAAGCAAATGATGCAAGCAACCCAATAATCACCTAAACTGTACACAGTCAGCTTCGGACACTGTGAACTGGTTTGCTGGCCTACAACTGCTGAATTGGCTGCCCGTCATTTACAATGCAGATGTTGTTTGGAATTGGAAAATCAAGGCTAATATCTTCCAGAAGCAGAAAATCATAAGACTGAGCATCTTTTGTGGGCCTTCCACATTTAACATTTATGCCAATATCGGGTGATGACTGGGACAGTGTGACACTGATAAATTGCTGACTCAAGTGCATTGTTATTGTGTCGATTTCCAAACGGCCCAGATCCAGCTGAGATTTTCCACTTGAGGCTGCCTGTGTATCAACAATCTGTAATGGATGGTTAACGTATAAAAACTTACAACATACTTCCTTCTACAAGGGTAGATGTTGTCTAGAATTAAAACCAAGAATATAATATCTTGTCCCCAAACTAGGTTACATCTGTACATGCAGCTGTTGTTGCATAGTGGGAGGAGTTTGATTTTTCATTGCCACGAGAATTTGCTGTAAACTCAGAGGCAGAACAGATTCTTATGACATAAGGTTTAATGCACTGACATTTGTAGGGCACAGGGAAGGAGGGAGTGGAACAGTATTCAAGTGGCATCTTGGTTGCTACAAACTGTAATTAGGCAAAGGACAAATTTACAACTACACTATCAGCATTGGTCCAAATCATCTGTTTGAGATGGCACACTTTATTCGTCTCACATCTTCGAAGATGTAACTTGCCTATATGTGATCATGAGTGTTTGCTAAATGGCTCCGAGGCAGATTTTAGATTTGCACAAGGAATGGATGTCCCTCCCAATAAAATGTGAAAAAATGAACAAATAGTGTGTTCCATAATTAATCAATAGTTTGAATATGAACCCACTGTCTCTGTGCCTCATGGTAATGCTCTCCTTGCAGATAACCTTGCCAGCCTTCATGTGTAGCCCTCTAAAACTTTACAGGATGAAACTCCTCGAGCTATCATTGTGGCTGTGCAGAGACCCCTGGCAGTCACGTTCATACTTACCACATACATACACTCCCACAGTTCTATGATACATTCATATAATCCCTACAGTACAGAAGGAGGAGATTCATCCCATTGAGTCTGCCCTGACCCTCCGAATCAGACCCACCCCATCCCTGTAACCCTGAGGTTTTTATAATCATGGCTAAACCACAAATCCCTGGACACTGTGGGGCAATTTTTGTTTTAGCATGGCCAATCCATCTAAACTACACATTTTTGTGGGAGAAAACCCACGCAGACACGGGGAGAATGTGCAAACTCCACGCAGACTGTCACCCAAGGCTGGAATTGAAGCCTGGTACCTAGCACGGTGAGGCAGCAGTTCTAAACACTGAGCCACCATGTCACCCCTGGATTCCTCACTCATTCTCATAGATATATAGTAAGTCAATTTACCTTTTACTGCACCAAAGCCAAGTCCTATGATGTGCCCATTGTTACTAACCTTATCTGCCACCTGTATCCATGCTTTCTTTATTAAGATGGAAATAATGCCTTATGCCATTGCAGAAAGAGAACCTCCAGCATTTCAGTGACAGCCTGGATAGGGCACACAGGGATACACGTTGAACTGTGGGGTGTTCATGAGCATTCCTCTGTTACTGCTGATGATTGGATGATTTGGTTATCCTTTCTCAGGCCTGATGTATGAAGAATCAAACTGATTTACTCATGGCTTTGAGTGCTTCAGGACCACTGAGACTGATGAGCTGTGCTTGCTGCCAGATTTCAGTGCCTTCCCCAGCACTGCACACTGCCATTCTCCACTAGACCCTCCCTTATGTCACAGGTTATCAGCATTCCCTTAGCACCCCACTGGCATTTGTCTCTTTTGTCCTTGTCCCTGATGCCACCTCCAGCCATTTGCTTGGAGTTCTGCCATTTGGTCTTAGTTAACTGACTGTTGCATGACTACATGATTCCAATGCTTCGCTTGCCACCCACATCACTGGCTATTGGATATAACAAAGTGTAGAGCTGGATGAACGCAGCAGGCCAAGCAGCATCAGAGGAGCAGGAAAGCTGACATTTCGGGCCTAGACCTTTCTTCAGAAATCTAGGCCCGAAACGTCAGCCTTCCTGCTCCTCTGATGTTGCTTGGCCTGCTGTGTTCATCCAGCACTACACCTTGTTATCTCAGATTCTCCAGCATCTGCAGTTCTTACTGTCTCTTATAATGGGTTCGTTCATTTTTCAGCTGGCGGAGTGAAATATAGCCTTTAAAATAGAATTAATAGTCTTTATGCCAAACTGAGGGGGTGTTTAAAAAATACATGTAAAAAGAGCTGATTCATTCCTGTTATCTGGTCATAACACGTCTCATGTAAAAGCTTTTAAACCAATATTTATTCCTTAATAAACATTGAGTGTAAACAGACGTTGTATGGGAAGAGTGTGTATGGTGGCGGCTGACTGTCAAAAATTAGTGGGAGACAGGTGGGAATGACAACAAAACGTGCCTCAACTTTGCTTGTGGGGCCATAGGGTGCACTTGTTCCTTCTCCATGTTCCATAAATGCTTTTTCTTTCTGACTTGCTTGGTCAGCTGCTTCAAACCCCCAAATGCAGCCAACTTATGTTAGCCTAGTAGGAAAACTGCAGATTCTGCCCCTTTTAGAACTTCCTGAAAATGGCATTTGGGTCCTATTAATTTAATAATCCCTGAGGTGTATAAATTCATTTGTATTTCATCTACTGCAGCAAGGCATCATCTACCTGCAGCACCTAGCTGGTGAATACTAAACAGATGGGAAAAGGTCAAGTTCCAAATTGACGAACAACCTTCTCATTGTTAGTTGTCCCCCTTTCTAGTTTCTGTTGGTTCGTGGTTTAACCAAACTGAGTACATTGTATTCATACCGAATTGACCCAGTACAATGTAATAGTGAGTGAATTTTACTGAGCAGTTGAAGTTATGGATGAATATGGGGAAGGATTCCCAGTTGTGGAAGTATGATCAAGATGTCTGTATCTATGTGACTACCATGCGTGTGGCAGACATGGGTGGTTGAGTTGGATGAAACATATTGCGTATATATGGCATACAGTGACTGCTGTCCTTTGGAAAGTGTCAGGAAACAGGTCCAGATTTAAAAGCATTTCACTTGAGTCAAACTTTGAACATGTCAACATTAGGATCCAGGGAAAGATTCTCAGGACATGACACTAAATCTGTTCTAGTTAGATAGTTGACGTGTACTTTGTGCATATTATGGTGGTCAGGTTGGGTTTTTGTTTCGGTAAGACCAGTAAATGTGCAAGATTGCACCATCCCTGTTAAAGCCTCTGCAACACTTGGGCATTGCTCCTGAATTCTGTCCAGGCAGGCAGATAGGCAGAGGGATGGTGCGCAGCAGATCAGAAGGTGGTGAGAGGGAATGACAAAGGCAAATTCAAATATGTGTGGAAGATTGTAGTTATTAAGAGAAAGAAATTTATCTGTTGGCTTTCTATTGCTGCATCTCATAGATCATTCTGAATAAATCTGAATGAATTACTTTCATTTCTCTTCTTAAAGATTGCAAAGTATGTGGAATGAGTAAATAACTCATTTTTAATTTAAACAGAAAGAATCTCCATCAAAAGAACACCAGGAATTTCCTCAAGAATTAGCAGCGCTTCATGAAGATGGTGGTAAGAAACTGGCAGTGATTTAAATTGGGGCAATTTTGTCATAATACAGAGAGATCATCTTAAACTCTAGAACATAAGAAAGAGGAACAGGCACAGGTCATTTGGCCTTGCGAATCTGTTCTGCCATCCAGCAAGATCTACCTCAATTCACTTTCCTTCGTTCCCCTTAATTCCTTTGGCACCCAAGAATCCATCAGTCTGACACTTGAATGTCATTTGATGGGCTGAAGCTCTAATTTATGACCATTCCTGTGATTTAAAATTTATTCAAAAGGCGCTAATGGGACTTTCATAGTTTTGAAGCTAATTTGTTCAGATGCTTTCAAAAGGTCTTTTGATAGTATTGTCTAGATGTACAGACTGCCTATTGACCAAGAATAGTGCTGCCAGTGGGTGTTGGGTAAGTCATTCTCTCTGCAATCTTAGCTGCAGTTCTGCAGAGCGATGGAAACCAGTGAAATGTGGAAACGTAGGAAAAGGTGTGGGGCAGTAAAGAAAATTAATCAGCTCTGACGGAATAGCATCCGTCATCTCAGGAAGGTATTTCTTTGCCAAGTCCAGCGTATGTATTGAAGTAATGTAGGGCCGTTTCTTTGCAAAACTGTTTGTCTTTCGTTTTTAAGTAGCCTGTAGTGTTGTTTGACAATGTAAATTTTTACTTAATTTCTATGAATTAATTGTGTGTATTTTCATCTTTGGACTCAGGCCATTGGTTTAATGGTGTTATACTATGGTCAAGCTGCTGTATTTGCACTATCAGAACCATAAATTCAGCACAGAAACTGAAGTCTATAATTGATGGATAATGTACTCTTTTCCCAAAATTGCCAATCAATTATTTGAGGCCTGGAAGTGTTTGATTGAAAGTGTAAATTGGAATGGTACTGGAATACCGTGGATCCATCACCAGGATCAAATGCGGACACTAATTCTGTGTGGGCAGGTAGTGGGACTACAAAGGGGTTTCCATTGGTGGCAGCCAATTCACAGACCATTGCCAGGATACCCATCCCACTGAGTTTAGACTGCCTTGCGTCACATGAGCCCAGTCAGATGGTTGGCAGAAGCATTATTTAGAGGTGGTCACTCCTGATGCAGCAAGAAGAGGGAGAAGACCCATCCAGAGGCACCCTTGATAGGCCACCAGAAAAAGTTGTCATGTGTCAAAGGCAGGTGGGTCCCATCAACCGAAGGACTGAACCTCCTGCAATAATATCAGAGCATCCACTGCTGCTGTTGGGCCCCTCCATGGGCTATGGATCCTGTGGAAAGTGAAGGGGCAGAGCAAAAAGCTGCCTCACTGAGGTTGGTGGATTCAATGAGGGGGAGGGAAGGCCTGCTCTGACACTGCAAGCAGGGCCATGAGCTGACCAATGAATTACCTTTAATTGACCTGGAACAAGCACTGCCATTATCACCTTTGGTAATACCTCACGATGATGAAACTATGTCAAAGCCCTAGATTCCCTCCTCTCTCATTTTATTATCCAATCATAGAATCTCTACAGTGTGGGGCAGGTCAATTGGCCCAACAAGCCCATACCGCCCTTCCGAAAAGCATCCCATCTAGACCCTGGCATTTTCCCTTTAACCCTGCATTTCCCGTGGTTAATTCACCTAACTTACACACCCCTGGACACTACGGGGAATTTAGCGTAGCCAATCCACCTAATATGCACATCTTTGGACTGAGGGAGGAAACCGGAGCACTCGATGGAAACCCACACAGACACAGGATAATGTGCAAACTCCACACAGACAGTCGCCCGAGTGTGGAATCGAACCCTGGGTCCCTGGCACTGTGAGGTAGCATTGCTACCACTGAGTCACCATGCCGCCCTTTACCTTTATCTTCTACCTCCTACCTCTGAGCCCATCTCCAAATCACTGGCAAATTCCCAGCCCTGAAGTCTTATTCCTTTTCAAATAGTTAATTGTTGATGAGTTAAAGACAATCACTGCAACAATATTAGCCAATATTTCTAGGGAATGATATTTAAGCTGAAGAGTTCAAGAACAATACTAATTTTCTGGGCCTATTGCAATTTACTCTGCTCTAGCTAAAGCTGGTCCATTAAGCCTGTGCCATTATCAACAAGCCAAATCTGATTTGATTTGATTTATTGTTGTCACATACCCAAGTACAGTGAAAAGTTTTTTGTTTTGCATGCAGTACAGGCAGATCATAATATACAAGGACATACAGATCACAGGGTGTTTAGACAGAGCGAAGCATACAAAGTTACGGCTGCACAAGAGGTACACAAAAGGAAGTCAACATTAGATTTGGAATTAGAGAGGCCCATTCAGAAGTTTAATAATAGCAGGGAAGAAGCTGTTCTTGAACCTATTGGTATGTGTGTTTAAGCTTCTATATCTTCTGCCTGATGGAAGAAGTTGGAAAAGAGTATTACAGGGATGGGAGAGGTCTTTGATGATGTTGGCAGCCTTTCCGCAGCAATGAGAGGTCTGGATGGAGTCCGTGGATGGGAGGTCGGCTTGCATGAGGCCTAAGCTGTGTCCACAACTTTCTGTAGTTTCTTACAGTCCTGGGCAGAGCAATTGTCGTGTCAAGCTGTTATGCACCCAGATAGAATGCTTTCCATGGTGTATCTGTAAAGGTATAGAAGTGCCAAATTTCCAAAGCCCCATGAGCCTTCTTGGTCCCATGAAATAAATACAAGCTGCTCCCAATGTTCCAAGGCCACATTAATTTGTCTGCACCATGCATTACAGTATTCAGCATTTAAGAAAGATACAAAGACTGTGCCAATAATACTTTGAATAAAGTAAATACAGAGATTATGTGAGGTGAAATTTGTCTACAGATCAATTTTCCTGCATTCAACAACATTGTATATTCACTACAAAAGCAATAGCTGTACAGGAACTGAGACTTAATAGAAAAATTACTTCGATCACAATGGTTAATAAAATCATAAATACCTTCAAATCAACATAGAAGGTGACAAGGCAATTTCCAACTTTCTACCTGGCTTACTGCCTTGGAATAATCATATGCCAAATCTTGCAAATTCATTTATTGGTTTGGCACCATTGTTTTAAAATGTCAATCAATCAATTAAGTAGATTGATATTCGTCTCTTCACAAACCCTGAACTGCAAGCACTAAAAAAAATTAGATGGGCAGCACTTGCATTTGGACGCTGACAAGTGTCCCTTCTGGGAAAGGGAGTAACTTCCTCATGATATTGGAAGAAAATGGTGTTTCTAAAATGTAGCATTTGAAATGTGTGGCCACTGTTACTTTCACCTGAGTTTTATTGAGTGCTACTTAGCATTATTGCACCAGTAAACTCTATAAACAAACTTAAATATAAGCTGACTTTTTTTTACCATTAGCATCTTATAGACCCTCTTTATTCCCTCACTGTTTGATTTGATTTATTCACATTGAGTGTATATATAGACAATACAGTTTTCCATCGTTGACAATTAAAAGGTTTGCTAAGTTGTCTCATTTGCCACAAAGGATAGCTGCATTTTTCAATGTTAATTCTCACTATCTTATGTGATTATTCCTTTTAATTTATCAGTTGACTTCAGTTCATTATCTTCTGATTGAATTTGAATTTGTCACCTTCTGTACTCATTGAAATAAAATTGTTTGCTCTTTCATGAAACCATATTGCTTGGTTAGGTTTTATCTAAATAAGGATCAAATCATGCAAATACATCTCCTCTTATATAGAAATAAATAGTTCCAGAAAAATTCTGGTCATGCATTTAATACGAACTACAGGCCATCTAGTTAGTTGAAATCCTGAAATTTCAGGAAAAGATCAGATCATAAAATTATTTTAGTATATAAAAGAACTGTTAAATTAAGCTCCTTTTTAGCATGAAGTGTTCAAAGTATCCAAATTTTTAATGATTTTGGTCAGACGGCATACAGTTCTCTTACTACACCTGATACTCTTGCATCAGAGAATTTGTGAGCAATGTTTGCTGTTTTTGATTGTGTGTGGCTTCATGTCCCTATTTCATGGCTGAGTCCATTCATTTTGCCTTTCGCAGTTTGATCATTTGGTATTTTTTTTTCTATTTTCTCATTATTTTTCTGCCTCTTCCTCTCTCTAATTCCCTGAAGGCTTGCTTTCAGCTCCTCAGTTTTCTGTTCTCATCTCTCACTCTATTACCATCAGATTTAGACTTCTTTTGACTGAGTAGTGATAGAGATTCAGACTGAAAAGTGATCAATAAATCTATTTTATTTACATTATACTTTAATAAAGTTTGATTATTTACATCATTAAAAAAAACTAAACTTGAAACTGTGCCAAAAGGCTGAAAATGTGTACACAGATAACAGTGTACAGAGGTTGTGTATAGCCTGCTTTCTGGGCCAGCTGACACATATATTTACAGCTAGATTCACTTTATCACAACAACTGAAGACTTGGTTCTCTTTTTGTGCTTTGTTAATCTAATCACATTTAGCAGGTTTAGGGCCATATTGATAAGCACTGTTAGTAAAAATGGAAGACAGTTTGGAGATTACAATTATTTGTGCAGCAGTTCAGAGAGAACTGATATGAATGAGTTAGAATAGTAGTTTTGACTTGGGAGGTAAAAAAAATAGAAATGTTTGGAGAACTGAACCCATCCACTATACTGTGTGCATTTTCGACCGCAGAGCATCATCTCATGGTAGATTGTGTGCATGATTTTTTTTAATAGGTGGGAAATGTTTGGATTGTGCCCAATATGGGTAGGTGATGCCTAGTGGTATTATTGCTGGACTGTTAATCCAGAGACCCAGATGACATTCTGGGGACCTGGGTTCGAATCCTGCCATGGCAGATGGTAGAATTTGAATTCAATGAATATCTGGAATTAAGAATCTACTGATGACCGTGAATCTATTGTCGATTGTTGGAAAACCTATCTGGTTCACTAATGTCCTTTAGGGAGGAAAACTGCCATCCTTACCTAGTCTGACCTACATGTGACTCCAGACCCACAGCAATGTGGTTGACTCTTAACTGCCCTCTGGGCAATTAGGGATGGGCAATAAATGCTGCCTAGTCAGCGATGCCCTCAGCCCATGAATGAATTAAAAAAAAAGCAGCCAATCCTTGACCCATTGGCATATGACTGATATGTTTGCTTTAAAATATTACAAAGTGCACATACCTTGTGCTTAGAGCTTGCTCCTCAGTTATGAACAGATCCATCTTAAAGTGAAATCAACATTGAAATTTCTGTAGTTATTTATTTTTGATTTGAAAGGAGTAGAATAACATAATTTAAAGCTGAACAGTGCTTAGCCATCTCACTAGACTACACGAAGGCTATAGATAATTAACAAGCTTGTAGTAAAGGTGTGTGCACAGGACATTAGAAATTTCTCTCTGTCTTTACAATAATCTCCACCTGATGAAATTCTGCTGCATTTAACCCTGCTAATTTGGTGCAGCAGCATCATTAAATTCTCCCACTTGCATTCATGATTCAATGTCCCAGTCTCAGCAAGAGCACTGGCATTTCATGCTGAATTGAAAATGTGGCCTAATGGAAATGTATTAGAAAGCCTGCTCTAAATGGGAATTATTTCTATGGTCCTCCTCATCATCAGGAACTGAGACTCAATGGTAATTTTAACCTAGCTCATTGGGCAACAATACTATGGTTTTGATGGAATAGCAGTGTTATGCATGCCACCCTGTCCTGTTTCCAGTTGGCTTTAATGGAGAAACAGACAAGGTGCAAAACCAGGACTATATCCAATCCTGTCAGTTTCCCAATGGGAGAGTTGGTTAAAATCCCCCTTTCCTAATTCTACAGAAAACAGGAATTGACTAGCATTAACAATTTTATCACAGTAACAAATATAGTGATCTCACAATCCAGATAACCTCAAGCATTTAGTTCTGACTATAATACCAGGCAAACTGACTTGATTTCTTGGATCCCACACAATTGTTAATATGATATGGTCTGCATGTTACCTTTATAGGTTGGCTCACTTAACATATACCACAAAGATTGAGTTCTTGTTGAGATGGATATCTGAAGTTTATTAATAACACCAAACAACTATTTACCTTGTTGTAATATTACAGACTTGGACTTAGTCTAAATTCTGTGTTATTTAGTTCCATGTACACAAATAACTGATTGAACACACCACATTGACTCCATTTCTCTCAGAAATTGACTGACTCAAGGTGAGATGGATACTTTTTACATCAGAACTTCACATGTTGTAATGTCAAGTAACTATCTTAAAGGTGCACTGCTCAATTGGTCTGGAATCTATGCGATAATACCAAAATCCCCTTCTTTTTCCTTAAAGGATGGGAACCCTTTTTCCAATAAGATGTACAAGGATGTTCATAGATTGATACCTAAGCCGTTTAATGTGACCAGATCTAACATTTTTGCAGTTATAATGACTTGTGGTGTAGCTTTACCCTGCAGTGTGCTATCTGTCATCCTAGCTGGATATGTTTAAACTTTTGGGTGAGGTTGTTGACTTGCTCGCCGAGCTGGCTTGTTCTTGTTGAGACGTTTCGGCACCATGCTAGTGACATCGTGATGTCACCTAGCATAGTGATGAAACGTCTGAACCAGAACAAGCCAGCTCGGCAAGCAAGTCAACAAACTAGCTGGATATGTATCGTTTGTCAAAGACATGTAGTTGTTATCTGGCATGATATTCTTAGTAACTGAGTCCTTGTTCTGTGTGATGGCTGGCTGATGATACACATTTGGATATGTTGACTATTACTTTGCAATATTGCTCATTACAACACTACATGACCTGGCCCAGACACAACAACATTGGATCTTTCCATCAATCCATGAGGACTGGGTTTTGTTTGAGACCAATGTCTTGATCTTTATTAACAACACAGACAATTTACATTGCTACAATGTCACAGACTTACATGTCCATGATCTGGGTTCTATTCTTGGTGTTATTACTTTACAATACAAACATATAACTGACTGAACACATATAACACTCACTCCATTGCACTAAGAGACTGACTGAAAGCAATGCAGGTACTTTTATACCAGAATGTCACATGTCCTGTTGTCATGTAACTGTCTTGAAGTTTCACTGTCTTTCTGGTCTGGAATCTATTATAACAAAACAGTGTTAAATATTCAGCAATTGATTGTTATTCCTGCTGAATTTTCCACCATCATCCATTCAAAAGAAAGATCAGCAGTCTTATTATCATTTGAGAAGCGAGGGGATTTTTTTGGGCATTGTGTGCATAAATGCAGCACCACACAGCCACTGGCAATGTTTTGCTATCCATTAAAATATCTTCTCCAATGGCTTTTAGCATTCAGTAATCACCTTGCTTTTTCACTTTCCTCCTTCAGATTTACTTGGAAATATTTCTGATCAGCTACAGAAGGCAGAAGCAGTCCTTCACAGGAAACATGAGAAAGAATTACAAGGGATCAGAGAGGAGCACAAGACGGAACTTACACAACTTAAAGAAGACCTATGTTCAATTCATAGTGCAGAGAAAAAACAGCTCCAGCAGATACATGCTGAGGATGTTGACAAACTGAAACAGGAACTGCAAAAGGTTTGAGTTATGAATAAAGGCAAATCTCTGGTGCATATTTTCAGTTTATCCTACCGGTAGAATATAAATGACATAAAAATTGCGTACAGAGGACAAGGAAATGTATAGTCAATTGTTCCCAATTGTATAACCTCTGCAGGTACATTATAAGTAATCTATTTGCACTCCTTGCCTTCTGACCTTTTGTGAGTTCACAGTTTTAATTGCCCATCATTTGTGACTGTGCCTTCAGTTGCCTAGGTCCTAAGATCTGGAATAGTCTCCCTGCAACTTTCTACCTTGCTTTCCTCCGGTTTTAAGGTGCTTAAAACCGATCAGTTTAACCAAGCTTTTGGTCATCTGAATTAAAATTAGGAAACAAGAAAGTGATTTGATAGTAAAGAAGTTGAGAGAGGATGTTTGGAGTTTGATTGAGGGAATGTGTGTGAGAGCTGCAGAAGTGAACTAACTTAACCTTCATTTGTATAAGGCGTTTCGTTACCTCAAAATAACTTCCAAGGTAGAAGTTGTCCTGGACACTGGGGTGAACATTTCACAATAACGCCAGGGGATTTTTTTTCATCCACCTGAGAAGACAGACAGGTTCTCCGTGAACCAATGCAATAAATTAGTTCTGCAGGACTGATCCAATAGGGATTTGGCAATGATTGATTAATTAAGGGAGGAAGAAAGAAAGATCAGTTCCAGTTAGCTGGACAATGGAAGGAAAGGTAATGGTAAAGTCACCATAGTCATAACAGGCCATAGAACCGCGCTGTCATTAGAGAAAGATGACTGGCGGTGGTTTAACCTGAGAGTCACCACACCTTGGGAGAGGGGAGAGGTTGAGAAGGAGAGTGATTCATGGTAACCTCAACTCGTACAGAAATTGAACTCATGCAGTTGGCATCATTCTGCATCGCAAACTACCTATCCAGCCAACTGAGCTAACCAACCCTCTACAATGAAAGAAAAGCTTTGGAGGAAGATGGTGCAGTTGACCATACCAAAGGCTACAGTGAAATTGAGGAGGTGCATGAAAAAGTAATGCCCCATGGTTAGGTTTACACTAATACTTTCCATGAATCTGAGAGTTATATAAGCAATTGTGCGAACTTTCTCAACATAGCAGCATATATGGGCCGAGTAGTGGCAGGTGCAGTTTAATCTAGATAAATGTGAGGTGTTAGATTTTGGTAGGACAAATCAAGGCAGGACTTGTACACTTAATGGTAAGGTCCTGGGGAGTGTTGCCAAACAAAGGGACCTTTGAGTGCAGGTTCATAGTTCCTTGAAGGTGGAGTCACAGGTTGACAGGGTAGTTGAGAAGGCATTTGGTACGGAGATAACAAGGTGTAGAGCTGGATGAACACAGCAGGCCAAGCAGCATCAGAGGAGCAGGAAGACTGACGTTTCGGGCCTAGACCCTTGCCTTTGCAATGATCAGTAATAAGTATAGGAGTTAGGAGGCCATGTTGCAGCTGTACAGAATATTGGTTAGTCCACTTTTGGAATACTGCATTTAGTTCTCATCTGCTTGCTATAGGAAGGATGTTGTTAAACTTGAAAGGGTTCAGAAAAGATGTACAATGATGTTGCCAGTATTGGAGGGTTTGAGGTATAGGGAGAGGCTGAATAGGCTGGGGTTATTTTCTCTGGAGCGTAAGAGGCTGAGGGGTGACCTTTATGGAGATTTATAAAATCATGAAGGGCATGGATAGAATGAATAGTCAAGGTCATTTCCCCAGGGTAGGAAATCCATAAACTAGAGGGCATAGGTTTAAGATGAGAGGGAAAAGATTTAAAAGGGACCTAAGGGGCAACTTTTTCATGCAGAGGGTGGTGCATGTATGGAATGAACAGCCAGAGAAAGTGGTGGAGGCTGGTACGATTACAATATTTAGAAGGCATCTGGATGGGTATATGAATAGGAAGGGTTTAGAGGGATATAGGCCAAATGCTGGCAAATGGGACTAGATTAATTTAGAATATCTGGTCAGCATGGATGAGTTGGACCTGTTTCTGTACTGTATTTCTCTATGGCTCTATAACTCTAAATGTTGAGCTTTACTGAGCTTTTGGTTTATTCATCACTGTCTTCTTAAATGCATTTAGGGCTTGGCGACAAATGCTGGTTGAATGGCATGACCAAACACAATAAAATGCTGAAAATGTAGACAATTGAAACAGTAAATGCTGGAAATATGCAGATCCATCAAAAAACAATTTGGGTATAAATCCTTCAATGAAACTTTTTTGTTTTAGAACAAAGTCACTAATGTGAAAAATTCTTGGGGAGAAAAACATAAGCACTTCAAGGATTTAAATGCTAGACTTAGCTTTGTTCATAGGAAGAGTCTACAACCTGTCCCTTTTTGAGCCTGATCTGTCAACCAGTTATTTGGATAGCACTTAAAACCTATTTGCAGCGTGGCAACGGGGCAGTATTTGTTCAAAAGTTAATGATTATCAAACTGTTTTGTAAACTCTTCAGAAAGAAGCAGCACAGTCAGAGTCCAGAATAGAGGAACTGAAAGCCAGCCACTCTGAATACGTCAAGGTTCTCCGAGAGGAATGTGAGGCTGCAATAGCAGGTTTGTTCACTTTATCAGAATCACATTCATGCTTCTCTGAGAGACAGCAAGGTGAGGTTAATTCTGCATATGAAAGATGAAAGTTAGCTTCTTACAATCAAAAAAATCTCCTTTGAAATCCATTTACACTTCTGATTTATAGGTAATTCAAGCATAAAAATCAAGAAAAATATACCAAGGTCATTGAAAAGAGAATGAAATGCATATTTCTCATAGAATGAACCAAAAAGTGGTTTTACAGAACAGTACACTGGTTTTGAAAAGAGAAAAGCCTCATGATGTAATCCTGACTAATAAAAGCTGCTTTGGCAACAGTTTCTATAGCAATAGTAATCTGTTGGTCTACAATATGAGTTTACCCTACATTTTACCTGAAACAGGTCACATTTTATTTTGGAAGAAAGCTTACTGCCTTGGGCTAAATCAACACATTCATACTTACTGCATCTTCATTGCCTGGACCCATTCCACTCACTTCCTGTTCTTTGCTGATCATCTTTCACCTTAGCCACAGACTTGCATTGTGTCACGTGAGTCCTCTTTCATGCTTGAGGTAAAAGGGAGTCACTTCTTCCCTGCATTACAATGCTGTTTTAAATACTATGACTCTCTTTAACATGAGTTAATGCTGTGGGGCAAATTCATTTGCTTTATCAATCGCCTTTGTGACCCTACCACCAGTAATCTTCCCTGTAAGCCTTTCCCTAAACATCAATTGATAATAACACGCTGTCCCAAGTCTGTCTTCATAATGGAAGTATTTCGCATCTGGAAACCATAGAGTTTTAGATGTCCTTTGAACACTGTCCAATGCAGTAGTTATTTCTACAATAGCTTTCTCTAAAAAAAAGATTGTGTGAAGAGTTAAGCCAGCCTAATTTGATGATTATTTTCTCCTTTTCTAAAAGGTGAGCAGTAATCGAACTTTGAAGATGTGTGCCTTAAAGGAGTAGACAGCCAACATTTTGTCCTGACACTCCCACAGTTTCTGCACTCTTTCTAGCCCGTACCACATAAAAACACCAAGATCTCCCATAAGAAACTATTATCCCTGTTTATATATATATTGACAACAACAGCTTTCTTTGATTTGGTACAAAGGTATTGTAAAACTGATCCCTGCCATTTCTTATAAGAAATTTGGCTGAATCTTGTTGAAATCTGTGGAAGTGCAATTAGAACAGCAAAACAGAAGCAAAATTCTGCCAGTACTGGAAATCTGATATAAAAACAAAAAGTGCTGGGAATGCTTAGCAGATCAGGCAACATCTGCAGAGAGAAACAGTGGTAATGATCGGGTCGAGGTGACCTTTCATCAGAACAGTTGAAACCGTTCTGCAAAAAGGTCATCTCAACCTCAAATATTACCACTACTTCTCTCCAAAGATGGAAATGATAATAGGGCAGTTTCCGTTATGCTAGTTTTACAACCAGGTACAAAGTTAAAAATCTAAAATTAGATTTTAGCTTAGCAGATATTCTCACTGTATCTTTTCAAATTCACCTCATGGATTTTGATTTTAATTTGATTTATTGTTGTCACGTACCCAGATACAGTGAAAAGTATTATTATGCTATCCAGACAAATTGTACCTAATGTATGTTCATCAGGGTAATAGAACAGAATGCAGAAAAAAATGTTACAGTTACAGAGAAGCTATAGAGAAAAATGAACTCCACTATATGAGAGGTCTGTTCAAAAGTCTGATAGCAGTAGGGAAGAAGCTGTTCGTGAATCTGTTGGAATGTGTTTTCAAACTTTTGTATCTTTTGCCCGATTTTGAGGAGGGTGGAAGAGAGTGTAAATGGTGGGAGGAGTCTTTGATTATGTTGGCTGCTTTCCCAAGGCAGCAGGAAGTATAGACTGAGTCAAGCAACTCTTTGCAAGCTGTCCCTAACGGATCGTTTCCTCACATCTTTTAGACTTGTTCTACTCTTTTAAAGCATTGACTACCTACCCCACCCCTGTGATGTCCCTCTTGGCCATCCAATTCCATCCCACTTTACCAGTCGCTGTTCCCGGAACAGCTCGCCACTGCTGTGAAATCCTGGAATTGGTTGCCATCCCTGGCATGGGAGCCATCTTTAAAAGGCTACTTTGCTCCCACAAACACTGTCAGGCCAGAGCAACCCTGCACAGTTTCTAACATTTGGCCCAGACATGTCAGACAAGGGAAATAAGGTGGCCCGCTTTGCAGTCAGGTCTTGTTCAGGGTGGCACAGAGGTGAGATGTGCTCTTCCCCAGGACCACGACACCAGGACTTCGCATTCTGTTCTAAGGTTGGTACCTGAATTACAGCTGTTTCAACCATCTGGAGCAATACATAACAATGTCGGAAAAAGGACAGCGACCTCCTCCCCTCCATCAGTGTATGTGCCATCATCTTCTCTGCTATCTTACTCTATCTTTGATATTGTATCCAGCTCCTACGAAACCTCATGCTCTACCACTCTCATTTTTACTTGTAAGATTCTCCCTTGCTCACTCTCACTGATCCCAACCCTTCATGCCCTCAGCAGTGCCCACTCATTCATTTGGGACATCTCCCCAGCTACATCAATAAAAACAATTGTGCAACTGACTATCAGTTAATCTGCTTGATACCTGCACCTCTCTGCATTCCTGAACTAGTACCAGAGGCTGCCCATGACATGCTGTGCAGGGACCACTTGACCAAAGGATGTCTCCCTTGACTTGACTGAAGACTGCTCCCAGCCACAACAAGCTTCCTGGCTAAATAGCAAAGTAATACTTTACTGAGAGTACTGAGAGCCTGATATGTTTTGCTGAGGGGACAAAGCGCAAGATGGGAAGGCAAGTCAATGCCAAGGCAGGTATGCCATGAGCATTTAGGTTGACTCAATGTGGGTGAGCTCTGTGACAGCAAGTGAACAGGCCGGAATAGCACCATGGTCCACTCCATATGCTGCATGTGTGTCCCTGATTGTACGCTATCCTTGCTGCATTACAATGCTGCAGTGAAGTGTAGAAGTGGGTCGAAGATGTACCACGAAGGTTCTTGGAAGCTGGCATGTATTGGATGCTGTATTCATGGATGTGGGTTGTATGTAGCTCATGCCCGTGGAGCATGCCCTAAAAGATTGGTGCCCAGTGTACAACATGGAAATCCTTTGGAGCAAGTGTTTCAGTTGCAATTGCCAGGTACCGGCTGTGATTTCCAAAGTCGTGACTTCTCAGCATCTCAATTGTTCGCATTTGGTGGGATAGCAAACTGGATATTAATGACACAAGTTCAGGCATTAGCAAAGATTTTAACAAACTAAAATTCCACTTAGTTGGCAACATGCTGGTGTCTAGCAAGTAACTCACCTCACCGCTGCACAAATGCATGAAAGATGCAGCATGTTGCGCCTGATGTGTAAATGGGCCTCACCGGACTTCTCATGTGATTTTACGAAAAATGAAGCTATAGTCCACGCTGTTCAGGCTCCTGCAAGATTCTGCTACTGTGTCTCTTAAAGATACTACAACCATGAGACATAATACAGCAGAAGAGATGACTATTAGTTCCCTGAAGTGGGACTTGGGCAGTGCATTGGGCTCAGTGTTAATCAGTCCGTTCTGAAGCTGAATGTTTGGCAAGTAAATCGGATCAAGTTCTTTACCCTCTTTTGGAGGATGGGGATTAAATTGTACCAACATTGCCTTCCTAGAACTAGAACACAGGTTCAATTTTAAACCATCCTGAAGCCAAAAGGAAATTAGTTGACCTTTCCGGATGTGGGATGGATTGAATCATAAAAAGGGTTATATCCCACTGTACTTCCTTATATAAATTTTGATTAAGAAATTGATTGACTCATATAAACATTTTTTTTCAATAATTTAACAGATTGAATCTTGGTTCCAAACTTAATATGTTGTTTGCAAAATTCCTGTCCTATATTCTGAGGGACTATCCTTACTTTTACTAGGGCTCATAAAACTACATAAACAGGAGCAGAAATCATTGACTGAATCCTTTACAAAAACTATCACATGTCTTCAGGTTAGTTTGCATGTTTCTTTGTTTATTTATTTGAAGTGTGCGTCACATATAGACTGGGTGGTTAAAAGGGCATTTGGCATGCTTGCCTTCATTCCTCAGTCCTTTGAGTATAGGAGTTGGAATGTCATGTTGAGTTTGTACAAGACATTGATAAGGCCTCTTTTGGGATACTGTGTTCAGTTCTGGTCACCTGGTTATAGGAAGGATATTATTAAGCTGGACAGAGTTCAGAAGAGATTTACCAGGATGATGTCCGGTATGCAAGGCTTGAGTTACAAAGAAAGGCTGGATAGGCTTGGACTTCTTTCACTGGGCCATAGGAGGTTGAGAGGTGACCTTAGAAGTTTATAAAATAATGAGGGGTATGGATAGGGCTAATGATAGTCATTTTTTTTCCCTAGGATGGGGGATTTCAAGACTAGGGGACATATTTTTAAGGTAAGAGCAGAAAGATTTAAAAAAGACACAAGAGGCAAATTTTTCACACAGAGGGTGGCTCGCATATGGAATGAACCTCCTGAGGAAGTGCTCGATGTGGGTACACTTACAACGTTTAAAAGACATTTGGATAAGTACATGAATAGGAAATGTTTGGAGGACTATGGGCCAGGAGCGGGCACATGGGACTAGTTTAGTTTGGGATTACATTTGGCATGGACTAGTTGGACCGAAGGGTCTGTTTCTATGCTGTATGAGTCAATGTCTCTATTTATTTTCTCTCCCCATTTTTCTGTCCTGTCCCCCTTTCCTAGAGAAGCTAATTTCTAGTTGGATTAGTGGGGTAGGCGGTGGGGGGTGGGTGATCATCTTCCTTGTTCAAGTTCCTATTATTTATGTGTAAATTCAGAAAGCGAGTGATGGAAGATAATATGTTTGAGCAGGAATCAAAATTGAGAGTATACTGTGTTCACTCCTCAGGAATGCATGCATGTACACTATTCTAGCAATTACAGCAAGTGATCAGACAGGAAAACTCTGGATGATATTTCCTACCCAATATAATGGCATTGAAGCCAGCTATAACTCCCCTCTGAGTGACCAGTTGAAATCAGCTAACTCTGAACAAAAGAGATCAAAACAGGAACCATCCTAATTTATTTGGCTCATCTTATCACCACACAATTACTGAGCTATTTGGAGTAGTGAGTTTAAGGTGCTTCCTATTGGGAGAGTAAAAGCAAACAGCCAGATCAGAAAATACTAAATTTTCCTAAAATTTACTAAAAACTACTTAGTTTTTCAGATTTTAAAGTAGATCAGAAAATACTTCTGATCTATTTTAAAATCTGAAAAAATAGATATTGCATTTATTTTAGTTTGGACACTTTAAATATTTTAATGCTAATTATCTAGTCTCAATAGTGCAATAATGCTAATCCAGTTCACTGTGCTGATGTTCCACTGAAGGAAAGAATAGAAGAGCTTTCTGCCCAAGTCAACACATTTCAAAAGAAGACAAAGAAAATTGAGGATGCAATATTAAGAAGAGATCTCAGCAAAGACAATCAGGTATTTAAAATTTTAACCATGTGAGTTCAACAAGTCTGACTAGATCTAACTGTTCATCATGGCAGTCGATTAGCTCAGTTGGCTGGATGGTTGGTTTGCAGAATGTGAACAGTGTGGTTCAATTCCTGCACTGGCTGAGCTTACAATTTAGGAATCATGTTAG